TAAAAACTTCATTGGTGCCGGCACCGGGGATCGAACTCAGGTTGCTCGAGTTAAGGGAGAATTAAAGGCGAGCGCCCGGACACTGAGCTATCACGGCTCAACATACAATTACTAATCATTAATTTCTATGAAAGCGATTATCACTAACCAAAACATTATCTTTTATTAGTTAATTACCGGTTACCACACAACTGTTGCACAAGTGATGGCACGGAATCCAGAGTCCAGACTTTTAGTTATAAAAAAAAATTGCGCTGCATTTTTATACACAAATATATAATTAAACGATCTAATTTTTTTTGTAATTTTATTTTCTCTTATACTCTATGTACAATACAAACAAACGACGTACTAACGGTATATGAGAATCAAAATCTGTGCTAGATTTCATATACGAGATTGCATATGAGTTTATTGCTATCTAGCGAAAGTTAATAGAAACTTTTCAATTTTTGACATTAATTACATACAGATGTCACTTCCAAAGTGTTTAAAATGTTTTTGATATAATTATGTTTATTTAATAAAAACAATTAATAATTTAGGACTAAAATTAAAATATGTATTTTGGTTTAAAACACGATTTACAACTTGAGCTCGTTTGGTAATGACCCAATCTAAACTTGAATAGTTACTTAACAGAAGGACAACAACTTCGGTAATCGCTTCCGCTACAGGAATAAACTACCTAGACCTGGAAATGCTGAAGCCTCGCAGAAATAAAAGTATTTATAAGTCTGTCCCGTGACCATGAACGCTGGAAAGGGTTCGAAACGTCGGGAATTTAAATTAAAATAAAAAACGCGATAAAATCCGTAAAGTAGTTTCATTTAATAAGTATTTATAATTTTAATCCACACCCACACTCCCGCACACTTAGTTTAATATAGTATATGCCGCCTGTAATATAGTATATTGAGATACCAAGGTCGGCGGTCATCTTCAAATAAACCGCCTAATCAATTGCCATTAACTTAAAAATAAAATAAAAAACTTATATGCATTTAATAGTAGAAAATCGACATTTCGTACAGTAAACAAAGGGCAAACCGTAAATTACGTCTTTGCGAACTTGTTTACGTAAAACGATATTACTATCGTGTTGTTTTTTAACAAAACAAATGAACAGATAAGTGTCAATTGAATGATAAAAATATATCTCACCAGTGTACCTACGGTGACCATCGTCACAGAATGGTGATATAAGAATGTGTAAATAAGTATTTACTATTATTAATGAGTATTTATTAAAAGTTATTAGAAAAACGGTCTACTTCGGAAGCATTGTTTTAAGCAGTGTCAATAGATGGCATCATTTTAAATATAATGTGAAATTAAAGTTCTTTTTGAAAACATTACTACATTTTGCTTGACTAGTTATCGTCATTAGCAAACAAGTTTTAAAATGATGTTTGAGTCATTAAATTTCACATAGATAAAAAAGCACCTTTAAGAAATAATATATAGAGATTAAAAATGTTATTTTATGTTAACGCCATCTGGGCATATTAAAGGTAAAGGAAAAAATTTGACACTGAGAGTGCATAGATAAAATACTAATATATGCTATATATGCTGACAGTGAATAGATAATTTATAAGAGGCCCCACGTAAACGTAGTGATTACATTCTCTTTGTTTGAGAGGCCCGAGCCGTTGGAGTTACGTCAAACTCTAAATTATGAAAAAGTCATGAAAATGGAAAAGTGTTATTATTATAAATGTAAACCAAAAAGAATTAAATTAAACAATGATTCTGTCTACATAAACCGAGACACAATTTAAATGGTAAATAACAATAATGCAATAGAGCAGTGGATGCCTTGTCCAAAAATTGAAACAGAATATCCGGGCTTAACCTATATTTATACATTAGACGAGATTGTAATTGCCGAGAAGCGGGATACTCTACATGAGGTAATAGCGAAGCAAGGTGTACGATACACAATATACAATAACCAACAACAAAAGGTGTTTTTAGGCGTGCAGGAATCACTGAAGAAACATAACCTAAACATATTTAATTATTACGGCAATGAAGTGATACAAATTAAGAAACTACGCGGTTTATGTTTGAGTAGAGCTCTAGTTTTCGCGCCACCCGGCAATTTCGTTGGTTCGGTAGAGGAAAAGTTGCCATGCTTGAATGTTTTCCTAGTGAAAAATCATACCGGCGATGTGGTTTTGAAGTTGAAAGGCCGCAAGTGTTTTCGTTTAGAATATGATATTTTATCAGATAACACCAAGATTGGAATCATGAGAAGAGAATGGTATAAGCGCAACGTGATAAAAGAGAAAAACGTCGGTGCTTCGTTTCCCGCGGAAATGGATATGGGATGTAAAACAGTTCTGATCGGAGCGTGTTTTTTGATAGGTTTTTTTAAGTAAATTTCCTTGATCTCGAGTAAACTGCGAACAGATCCTAATAAATTATTGGCGTAGAACTAAAACACCGTTTGCAATGATTATTTTTTATCATTCAGAGGCGGCTTCGAAAGACATTGAACTGAGAACGAAATGTATTAATATCACACGCAAAAATGAAAGATTTTGTTGTCAAGGTTTTTATTTCTGTGCGTTTAAAAATTCTTTAGTGCAGAATTCTGGTACCACGATTTACATACTTCATCGGACGGACATGCCCATTCGTGCAACAGCGAAGTTTGTGGCGTGGTACTACCACAGTTAATTACATCGCTATTGATATTAATATAATATATCGATACCTTAATTGGCAAACCAGCTAACTCCACCTTAGGTCAAAAATATTTTTTGGCTTTGTTTGTACGCAATAATAATTCCGCTTGATTTGCAGAAGCAATAACTCCGATATAATCACTATTTCTTTCTATAAATCGCTATTCGCAAATCAGCCAACTCCGAATGTCACGGAATGTTACAATTTTAACAGCCAACTCCACCAAGTCGGCTATTTCGTATGGCGTCCGAGTCATGTACCGGTACCGCCCTACGTTATTTGGAAAAAAAAAATATAAACGCAACAAAAGGAAAGGTAGCGTTGAAAAACAATTGAACATTAATACACAGTATGGATACTTATTTTATTTCTTACAAAACATTGCTAGGTAATTGAACAATTCTAAAATTTAATATTGGCTTTGAGTTGGCCGGCTTGATTCTTACTTTATTACGCTACGGTTGGAAGTTATACTTTTAAAGTTTATTAAAAATTTAAATTAAATTTGATGATACCAACAAACCTGACTCTTTTCTGGTTCTTAATAACCAATTTTCAAAACCCTACGACGCTTTGGTTGGGCATGATAACGTAGCTTCTAATTCATCGAATTTATTTGTGCAAGTGTGCGGGAAGTCGATGGATGCAGGTGGCTTAGGATCTTACTTCGTGGGAGGCCTGTGTTCAGCAGTGGACTCAAACAGGCTGAAATGATGATGATGATGATTTGATAACAACATTTATTGCGTTGGAAATGAACTGTCTGCCATGGAGTATACGCAAACATATGAAATTGTTGCTAATGAAGACATAATATTTCCGTTTGATAAAGAACAATTCAGTCCAAGTTTGCTATCTGGTCACCTTACTGCATCACTTAAATACAATCTTGAAAATTCCTCTAAGTTTAAAGCCAGCTCACCTCTCTACAAGTAATGATAAATCGGAATAATATTTCTGAAGATGACGGAAATCTTCGGATAAATTTTTAAATATGATGGGATAAAAAACTAATTAACGTTGATTGTTTAATAAAAATTTTAGATACAATTAGGCAAAGAGATAGGACAGACCCTTAAAAATGTAAAAAAGTTAACGCTTTTATATACCACCCTTCAAAACGTGTGTATTTATGATATGAAAACTAGAGATGGGTGTTCCTTTCTATGGAATGAAGGCAAAGGCTGAGTTCTGATTAGTTTGCAACGATTTTAACCAATTTCTCAGTTGATAAAGTAATTCTAGCAATAGAATTACTATTCATAAGAAGATAACAGATATTAAAAAAATAAATTAAATTTGATGATACCAATAAACCTGACTCATTTCTGGTTGGTAATAACCAATTTTTAAAACCCTACGACGCTTTGGTTGTACACTTGAAAAGGAAAAGAAAATCTTTATTTAAAATAAATCTATCAGGAAAACCAGCTAACTCCCAGATCACATACTTTTGCACGAAAGAAAAAACGGATAACTCCTAAAAAACGCTGTAGTATGGTAATGAAAATGTATAATGGATTTTATAATATCAAAAATGACAATTTACGATAAAATCTACCAAATATATTTTTGATTTTCTCATAAGGAGTCTAAAAAAAATATTATACAGTTTTAAGTGTCTCCTGTAAAACTTGCCCATATGGAGTTAGCTTGTTTGCCAATTAAGGTATCGATATGACGTTAATACCCATATAGCTTATCTTCTGGAAGTTTATCTCCTCCGAGACCGAGAGAAGTGATGACTCCGTGGCGCAGTTGCCTAGGTATTGGCTTCGGCGTGGGGGGGGTGGTCATGGGTTCGATTCCCATACGGGACAAGTATTTGTGCGACCCACAGATAGTTGTTTCGCATCTGGGTATTTGTCCTCATGCAATTTATGTTTGTAAAACGTCCTTACAACACAGGATAATGTTATCCTAAAGTGAGGGCAATGTTTTAAAAAAAAGCGGAAAAAAAATTGAAGTGAAAGTGATAAATAAATATTATATGAAAGCTAGATCGATATTACTCCTGCGAACTATTTGCCCATGTGTACTACTAAATTATGCTTTTTGAAATGCATGTATACAACACTAATTTAGAATTCGTTTATGGGTTTTCTTTAAATGAAACTAAAAAAAATCATGTTTTAACAAATTTTTATTTATTTTGTTAAACAAACGGTGATCATTCTTTGGCAATTTATCACTTAAAACAACTAAAAGAATTACTTAAAACTAGGTAATCAGTCTTTACATAATACTGTGTAAGAACAAACATTTACAAAGCCCAGATATCAGGCGCTTTTTGTTAAGCCTTAATCCACTTCCTCCACCGTGGGACCTTCACGCTGGCCACCGTACATACCACCCGGCATACCACCTGCCATTCCACCAGGCATTCCTCCCGGCATACCGGCTGGCATTCCACCAGGCATTCCTCCCGGCATACCGCCTGGCATACCACCAGGCATACCGCCTGGCATACCGCCCTGTGCTGCTCCATGCATCTTGCTCATGAGTGGCGAGCAGACCCGTTGCAGCTCCTTGAGCCGGTGCTCGTACTCTTCGCGGTCGGCCAGCGTGTTGTTGTCGAGCCATCGAAGGGCGTCTTCGCAATGTTGGCGAGCAGTGTTCTTGTCACTCTCACTTAGCTTGTCGCCTGCCTCCTCCACCGCCTGTTTCACGCCGAACACGTAAGTCTCGAGCTGATTGCGGGCGGTGACACGCTGCCGCTGTCTCTCGTCCTCCTCTTTATATCGCTCTGCCTCAGCGAGCATGCGATCGATCTCAGCCTGTGACAGCCGACCCCGGTCGTTCTTGATCACGATGTTCTTGCTGCGGCCCGTGCTGTTCTCTTTGGCGGACACGTTCAGGATGCCGTTGGCGTCCATGTCGAATGTCACGTCGATCTTGGGCACGCCGCGCGGCGCCGGTGGAATGCCCGTCAGGTCAAACGTGCCCAGAAGGTTGTTGTCCTTGGTCATTGCGCGCTCTCCCTCGTACACCTGAATAGTGACCGCTGGTTGGTTGTCAGAGTAAGTGGTGAATGTCTGCGACTGCTTGCACGGGATCTTGGAGTTGCGTTCGATGATCTTGGTCATGATACCACCGGCCGTCTCGATGCCGAGAGACAGCGGCGCCACGTCCACCAACAGCACGTCCTGGATCTTAGAGTCAGACTCTCCGCTTAGGATGGCAGCTTGCACGGCGGCGCCGTAAGCCACCGCCTCGTCCGGGTTTATGGAAAGGTTAAGCTTCTTGCCGCAGAAGAAGTTCTGCAGCAGGCTCTGCACCTTGGGGATGCGCGTGGAGCCGCCCACCAGCACCACGTCGTGGATCTGGCTCTTGTCCATCTTGGCGTCCTTGAGCGCCTTCTCCACTGGCTCCAGGGTGCCGCGGAACAGGTCCGAGTTGAGCTCCTCGAAGCGGGCGCGGGAGACGCGCGTGTAGAAGTCGATGCCCTCGTAGAGAGCGTCGATCTCCAGGGTGGCCTCGGTGCTGGAGGAGAGCGTGCGCTTGGCGCGCTCGGCGGCGGTGCGGAGGCGTCGCAAGGCGCGCGGGTTCGAGCGCAGGTCCTTCTTGTACTTGCGCTGGAACTCGTCCGCGAGGTGGTTCACCAGTCGGTTGTCGAAGTCCTCGCCTCCCAGGTGCGTGTCGCCGGCAGTCGCTTTCACCTCGAACAGGGAGCCCTCGTCGATGGTCAGGATCGACACGTCGAAGGTGCCGCCGCCGAGGTCGAAGATCAGCACGTTGCGCTCGCCCTTGAGGTTCTTGTCCAGACCATACGCCAGCGCGGCCGCCGTGGGCTCGTTGATGATGCGAAGCACGTTCAGCCCTGCGATGGCACCTGCGTCCTTCGTGGCCTGCCTCTGAGAGTCGTTGAAGTACGCTGGCACGGTGATCACGGCGTCACGCACTGTGTTTCCCAGATATGCCTCCGCAGTCTCCTTCATCTTCGTCAGCACCATGCTGCTGATCTCCTCGGGAGCGAACCTCTTCTGTTCACCCTTAAATTCGACCTGAATCTTGGGCTTGCCGCAGTCGTTAACCACTTTGAAGGGCCAGTGCTTCATGTCCGCTTGGATCTTGGGATCGTCGAACTTGCGCCCGATAAGCCTCTTCGCGTCGAAGACCGTGTTGCTGGGGTTGAGGGCCACCTGGTTCTTGGCCGCATCTCCGATGAGCCTCTCGGTGTCCGTAAATGCCACATACGAAGGCGTCGTCCTGTTGCCCTGGTCGTTGGCGATGATCTCCACGTTGCCGTGCTGCCACACGCCGACGCACGAATACGTTGTTCCCAGATCGATTCCGATTGCTGGCATTTTTTTCTATTAATAAATTGAGTTATAGACAGATAAATTGTTAATACGCTTGTTGAAATACTTTCGGTTAGTACCGAACTCGCCTCTCTGTAATACTCTTTGTGTCCTGTTTCAAATCAGTATGAGTTGACGCGCCGGCTGCCGCGCTTTTATATTAAACGAATCGCATTCTAGAATCGTCGAGTTCCTTCGAGAGCAAGCCAATGGGAGTGCACCGTTCCGAGAACGATCTGGAAACTAATTCAAGAACCAATAGAAACGGTCCGTTAGAAAGAGATAGCATTAATACTATCGTAATTAGGGTCATAGGGATGCCCTATGCGAAACTTTCTCCTGAAATTTGGGAAAGACATTTTGTGCACAGCTAATGCAATGATCAATATAAGATTGAAAGATTTATTATATATTTACCAATATTACTACTTACTTTAAATGCACAACTTCCATATTAACAATTAATATAAAACCATTGCGACTGCATTATAGATCACGTCATGAAATCGATTACAACAAAGTTTTAGGTTACAAAAATTACAAGAACATTTAAGTCTTCAATGGTTATTAAATATTTTACGATATTGCTAATGAAAATTATTTTTTTTATATTATTTGTTACAATACATTTATTAAAACATATTAAACATTGATAATTTGTCAGTCGATTAATTCTTGGTTGGTATCTTTATGATAAATATTATCTAACAATTTTTGGTGAAAACATAAAAGTAGTATTATTTTGACAATATACCAATTGCTAGAAATTTACAGTGCTGTAGAATTCAGAAGCGCCTAAAAATGTTTTGTATTCTTAAATTTAAAACTGGGCAACATAATTCACGTCAAACTTTCCAGAACATTCTCGAAGTAACCTTTTCCCCAGCCGCTGTGTGCGAAGGAGACAGTTAAATGATTGCGAATTGCGACGTACATTTAATGTTTGGTTCCAGATTTCACTACTAGATGGAAGCTTCTACCTGTTTCCCAGTTTTTCTTACGGTTGTCTCGTGCTTTGGCGCTTTCAGCCAATAAATACTCTTTTTTTACTTAAATTTTTTCGTTTACTTCAATAATCTAAGATTACCGATACTTGTAAAATGGATGACAAGTGTAAAGGTACACCAAAAGAACGTCCTGGAATAACGAGCGCTGAGCAAATCTGTACATACTTATTCATTTATTTATTAATCTTTTACACAAGTCCCGTGGATAGGCGGACTTAATGCCGCAGTCATACTCTACCATGACACTACTGAGTGATGTACAAGTAAAATAAATAAGCGTAAAAATGAAGAAAAGACACTCACTACAAAAACTATAACATAAAATTTATACGTACAATAACAAATTACAATCAATACGAATCAATACTAAATAAGTTAAGTTTCACTTTAAAAGTACAGACTTTTGAAGTGTTTCTTTTTTTTAAACCTTTTGTCTATTTTTAATATATTTGTACTTTTTTACTATTTGTAACGTATTCAGCAGCTTCCATTAAAGTAATATTATATAAAATACGTGGATAGTGTAGTGGGTTGCAAATATTATCACTACCTCACCGCAAAAGATTTTCTGTTTACTTATATCATATATTGTAGCTGTTTGTTATCCCTAATAAAATTAAATAAAAATAAAATAAAATACGATAATCACACAAATACACATACTAAAATAAATAAATACATAAACTACATAATTATGTTGATATATACCAATACATTAATATAACATTGCAAATATAATAAACTAGTGACCCATCCCGACATCGCACGGCTTCGTGGTAAATGTTATTTTAATCTATTTTTACCATAATGTGTGCAATAAAGATTATTTATTCAGCTATCTTGTAAGGTGTGCAGTGTAAGCGCGGAAAAATATGTTTGTTACGACATCAATCTACAAATCTTTGAATTTCTTTGTCTGTACTATAATGTTACGCAGGCATACTACATATTATAAACTTTCCTTTCGAATCACTATCTATTGCTGAAAACTGCATTAAAAACAGTTGCGTATTTTAAAAGATCAACGCGTACAAACAGCGGGGATTGCTTTGTTTTGTACAAAGTACAAAGTTATTATGTACAAAGTTCGATTGGTCTGCCAACATTCCAGCACGAACTAGTAAAATGACGTTATTGAAAAATATTTATTTCATTAGTCCATGCATTCCAGAAACAACGATCGGTTCTATTCTTTACTTAACATCGTAATTATCAGGATTTATAGTTCGACATTTGGATTCATATTCGCATACCACGCTCATACAATTCAAAATTTTTTAACGTCGACCCCTTCAACTGAAATAGGAATAAGTTTAAGAAACTTGTTATTAAATCATTGGCCACATTTCAAAACCTTTCAACAATAATCAAGCCCATACACTCAACACATGCACATGCACATGCACGTGCACATGCACATGCTCTCATTCACACACACACACACACATGCACGCACGCACGCACGCACGCACGCACGCACGCACGCACGCACGCACGCACGCACGCACGCACGCACGCACGCACGCACGCACGCACGCACGCACGCACGCACGCACGCACGCACCCACGCACGCACGCACGCACGCACGCACGCACGCACGCACACACACACACACACACACACACACACACACACTCACGCACGCACGCACGCACGCACGCACGCACCCACGCACGCACGCACGCACGCACGCACGCTCGCACGCACGCACGCACGCACGCACGCACGCACGCACGCACGCACGCACGCACGCACGCACGCACACACACACACACACACACACACACACACACACACACACACCACACACACACCACACACACACACACACACACACACACACACACACACACACACACACACAGACACGCACGCACGCACGCACGCACGCACGCGCACACACACACACACACACACACACACACACACACACACACACACACGTGCGCGCACATAATATTTATAATTTGCTCTTACGTTTGCAATATCATAGAACATTGCTGCGTTGTCTGGAATACTGCCTACGCGGTTCACTCCGATATGATAGAGGACGTTCAGAAGCGTTTTTTTTATCATATTACATACAGAGAAACTAATGCTGTCACCTAACCTATTATCAGGATCTGCTATAAGGGATGACATCTTTCAGAGCTCGCAGAAAGATCAACTACTTAATGTTCTTGTACAAATTGCCATATTCTCACATACAATCGTTTTATTTGCAAATTGATAATTTTAAGATTAGAAGTACGTGCATGAACGTTTATGTAATGGATGGATGTGAGACTCGGGATGAATAAACAAGTAAATTTTTATTAACAAAAAACAAAAAACGGCCTTAGTATACATTTTTTATTCGATTTTAGGAGTTTCCTGATTTAACTCAGGAGTCCGAGGTCAAATATCTACTAAATTAATATAGGACTAAATGCCAGCCTCCTACTGGCCATCGCAGTGTTGGACGACCCACCACTAGATGGAGTGACGACCTATGCAAATAGCGGGAAGTCTCAAGTCGGTAGAGGCAAGTGGCTCAGGAACGTGCTTCGTAGCAGTCTGTGGGGGAGACCTATGTTCAGCAGTGGGTTCGAACATACGTAAATGATGATGATGATGAGGACTAAATGGGAGTCAAACTAGGGTCGCCGAGGGGAGCAACCTGTGGCTCGCGAGATACACGCGGCTCTTTGAAGGATTATTTGTGGCTCTCGATTAATGTACCAGAGTTCCCTTTACATTTTTGTGCTATTATAATATAAGAGCGATAATAATAATTTAAAATATAATAGTTACATTTTATGTATATGTAAAATATTGTTATGAACACACAAAGGAACTAACGCCATCTAGCGTCAACTATTAAAATCACTAAAGAACAAAGACGACATAAAACCCCCTATTCAATACTAGATGGCGTTAGAGGAACTGCTGTGGAACTATAGTCTCGAAAACCGGGTACATTCGCGAACTTTCCGGAATCACGAACATGTTCGGGCGTGTCGGGTACGTTCCAGGAAGGATCTTTCTGGATTAGTCTGGAACCGGTCTCGGCCCATATAAAAAGCCGCGGGGAGGCGAGCGAAGACAGTTCAGTTTGAGCTACCTTCGAGGCGACTTCGGAGTGAAACCTAGTGTGATCCAGAGCGATACCAGTGAAACCTAAGACTTGGCTACAAAATAGGACATCGTTAGTGCTTAGTGTTTGGACCTAGTGCTTTGTGTTGGACCTAGCGCTAGTAAATAAAGTCTTCAAAAGAGTCAGCAGGTCTTTCTCTCCAAATCCTTCGAACCCCTAACACGTAACAACTGGTGTCAGAAGTGGTATTTGGAGATGCCATTGACTCCGAGAGAGGACTTCAAGGAGGGTGTCAGGACAAGGGCACGAGCTGCGGAGACCACACCCACTGGGGACCAAGCCCCGCCCACTATGGGTCAAGCCCCGCCCACTGACCCCCCCCCCCCCACCGACCACGCCCCTCAAACTCCGCCCACTCAAGCCCAAGCCCCGCCCTTTTTGTCTCAAGCCACGCCCATTTCGGGGCAGGCACCGCCCACTTTTGTGCAAGCCCCGCCCACTGACTGCACCCACCGGGACACGCCCACTCGGGCCACACCCACTGGCCACGCCCACCTTGCCACGCCCACCGGCTTCTGCAGCCCCTGAAGTGGCTCTTCAATTAGGAAGTTTAATTCAATTAATGGAGCTGCAAAGGGCTGAAATTCAGGCAATGAAGGAGTCACAAGAACGCAAGCTCAGCGCTTTGCAAGCGTCACAAGAGCAACAAAAAGACCTCCAAGAAAAAGCGCTTTGGGCTATAAATGATGTTAGTAACACGGTGATTAAGCTTCGAAGTGATGTCGACGTAGTCGAAGAACGAGTTACCGGGTTAGGATTGGATGTTGAAAATGTGAAAACCGGCCTCACTGAACTACAGAAGAAAGTAGTGCGCCTTAAAACCACGGGAGTCGCGATGTCTAGTGGAACAACTGGAGTGGCG